ATAACATCATAATATCAGCAGAATAAAGACGCGATTTTACCAGAAGAACGTTGTAAAATTAAAAGAAAAACGGCTCCTGGTTATCAGGGTTTGATTACGTCTGGTTACTGCCATCTAGTGGTCAGTTTGCTTGAAAATTCAGCGGTTGATCATTTTATGCTGCTGTGTTGTGTTTCCCTTCTGCCACACCTGAATTGTATCTCTGGGTGATTAACAGGCTTCTGCAGTACTTGATGGTCATGCATTCATTTGAATCAGCTGTTATAGAGGCTCATCTAAAACATGCAGAGCAGGAGGCCTGAGGACCAGGGTGGAGAAAAACTGTGTTAAAAGATGAAGTATTTACTTTGTATTGGAGTTCTCATAAAATTATTACTTTATTCTCCTAATATTACAACGTTATCCTCGTAATTAAAAATAAAAAATCGAAGCCCGGCCCTGACAGTCGTAGAGTTGACTTGAATTTAAAGTCTAAATTAAGAAGATATAAAACACGCTTGTCCAGCAACATGGCCGCCCTGGCATCTATCTGAATGATAAAATGGTGAAAAAATAATATACATGTCCAAAAATTAAAAAGAAAAAATTTAATTTGGAAAATCTATTTTTTTTATTCTTTTTTTTAGGTTTACCAAAATGTTTTGTTGGCTGGAAGTAACTGTGTGGTTCTGTAACAGTCCAGTCAAAGTCCTGGCCTAAAGATTAGGATTATGGTGACTTAACTGGTTTTGAACCTTGCAGGGTATGAATACTTTTGGGCTACGCTGTCCCTGCCTCTTTCGTTTCTGTTCTTTGGGAAGCGTGTTCTGACCCGGTTCTGTTTCCAGGGACGACATGTACTACCGGGCCGTCCACGGCACCGCTGTGCTCTTCCTCCAGAACGACGCTGGCTTCGGGAAGTGGGCTCCGACTCCGGAACGTCTGGCGGAGCTGACGGCAGCGTACCGCCCCTCTCTGTCCCGCACTTCCTCCCTGTCGTCCCCTGGCCCCGCCCAGTCCGCCCCTGGAGACAGAGACTCCGCCCCTAAGGCCTCTGATAGGACACAGAGCGCAATGGTATCACCTGGTGGCCATGACAGCAACAACAACGGCAGCAGCAGCAGTAGCAGCCCTCAGGACAAGCTCACTGCGATGTAGAGGGGCGTGGCCACTGCAGGCCACGCCCCTAATGTAAATGTGTGTTTACGAACATCACCAGTCCCTCACCAGCACCTGTAGCACATTCTCACTTCTTATCAGTAATCTACCACCGCCATCAGGGGGCGGAGCCTCATTTAAACTTCATTACGTCTCTTTAGTCTGTTGGCTGCTCTGATTGGTTGAAGCTCACCTGAAGCTGAATGACGTCGGCGTCTGTACTGCTTCAGAGTTCCAGCAGTAAAATCCACCTGAGGGGCGTCCCCTGATTTGTTGTTATGGCAGCTATCATGTCTGAGACCCAGGCCCTATAGCAGGGGGCGGGGCCTCGGCAGCAGAGGGGGTGGGGCATCAGGTAATCCTGAGACTGTGACGAGTAGTCATGGAAACGATCTTTCAGTCCCAATCCAGTTCTGTGATTCACACGAGATTAAAAAATACAAGCTGTTAAGGTGAGCTTTAGTCTGACCCTGTATAATTCACACCAGATTGATTTGGATTAAGTCAGATTAATCTGGTGTGAATTTAACCAAATTAATCCAGTTTAATCTGGTGACCTCTCTAATCTAGTTTGGTTCAGTTAAACATTTTTTTTTATTTAATCTGTTTTGATTTCTTTGATTCATTACATTCTGGTTAGGTCCAGTCTGATCTAGTTTGATTTGTTTGGGCCTAATCTAAACTGGTTCATGTGTGCTACATCCAGTATGTACAGGTTTAGGCCAGATAAATCTGGTATGAAGGGATTAGGGCTCTGTTGGGACGGGATATAACCAGATTAATCTGGTTTAATCCAGTTTAATCAAGTGAACTAAAATCTAATTTGGTTCAATTCATTTTTTTGTCTGTTTTGATTTCTTTGATTCATTACAGTCTGGTTAGATCCAGTCTGATCTAGTTTGATTTGGTTGGACCTAATCTAATCTGGTTCATGTTTGTTAGATCCACTCTATTCTGATTTAATCTAGATAGATCCGGTCTGAAGAGGTCTGGGTTCTGTAGGGATGGGTTAGTCTGGATTAAGCTGGATAGAACCAGTTTTATCTAGTTTTAACCGGTTTTGTCTGGATGTGTCCATCTTTAATAGGAAAAAAGTTGACTCCTCCCACTTGTGAGTGCTCTCTGATTGGCTGGTGGTGGACCTATCAGGCGCCTGTCTGTGTGTAGATAGTGTACAGCTGGACTGATCTGAGGTCTGTTGGTGTTTTGCTGTTGATCAGTTTTTATTTGGTCTAATTTAACCTTTTTAAAGAGATGAAATGTGTTTGTGTGTTTTAACCGAACCAAAGTGTTTATGATGTATATGAGTGTGTACAGTAGAGCCGCGTATGACAGCTGGGCTCCTCCTGCTCTGCATGAACCCGCTGGAGGAAGTTCAGACCTGGACTCGGTGGTCGTCTCCGGGGTCCTTCCAGCTTCAGTGTAAATTCATTCTGTCCTTCGTACTGCCTGCAGAAAACCTGCAGCTTCTCTCCTAGTAAAAATATATCAAGCCCAGTACGACCAGTCACCTCGTCCTTCTGCACACACACACACACACACACACACACACACACAGTCTTTCTATCTTCCCGAGGACTTTCGTCAGTTTTTCATTTATTTATCTGACCCGTGAGTCAAACACCACTGCTCTTTTTGGGGCCAGGCTTTAGGCCCCATAAAAAGCATAAGATGTGACTGAATGTCCACGATGAAGTGGAAACCTAGAAGTTAAAGTTCGCCTTAGTCCGACCCGGTTCGGTTGTACATCTAAACCCAGTTAAATAATAGAGTTCTGTACAACAGCTCCGTCCCATAATGAGCTTTTATTTTGAAACCTGGAGCCGGAACCTGGAACTTCAATTTTGACATAACTAGCAGGAAATTTACCAGCTTCACTTAGACGGAAATGATGGTGTAACTTCCTGGAAGTAAACATCAAACTTCAGATCGATTATTGATCAGCAGCAGATTAAAAATAAACTTTTAACCTCGCGTCCAGTCAGAAGGCCAAATCTGTACCCGAACCACGTTAAAGTCCGTCGGTCTCTGCTGCTGTAGCCACTGTTAGCCTAGCCGAGTTAACTCGATTCAACCCGGAGCTGACTTGACCGAAACGAACCGCAGCAGAACTTCGGAGCGGGTCCAGCATGGGAGCTCATCGCAGCGAGGGAGGCCGGGAGTGGCTGGAGCAGGTCGGAGCGGAACATCCGGACCAGAACCCGGTAAGAATCCCGGAGGAAGAGGCAGCTAGCGGCGGCTAACGGGGCAGCTAGCTACGGCTAACGAAGCATCCCTGATTTTAGCTTGAAATAGTAAATATAATAAATTTAGATTTATTACTTGCATTATTCTTTGATTAAATTGCTGTCAGTTTATAGTTAACTATAATTTTCAGTTTTATTTCATTTTCTTTTGTTTTGGTTTTTGTTTATAGATTTTTTCACCTTTGGTAATTGACGTATTTACTTTAAATTTTATTCTTTTACTTTAAGCAAACCAAGCGATAATAAAACAAATGTTATTTTAGGTTTTTTGTATGGAAGCCCGTTTCCGCCACTCTGGTAAAAATAAATAAATCTAATTTCAAAATACTGTCTCGAAATAATGAGATACTATCAAGATCTATCTGTAGGTATGTGTTGTTGCCAATTATGTAAAATTTTGTGAATTGTAATTTCTAGCATTGTATTTTTATTCTTTAAACATAATATATGCAAGTTAGTTTAGAACCAAAATCTGTAATTTATACATTTGGAATTGTTTAGATTACTTTGGTAACTGTTAGACCCTCCCATTAATTTGAGTAATTAAGAACACACCTGGTGATTGATGGAGGTTTATTGTTTTGGGCAAATGTCCGGTGTGATGACTGGAGGTTTTTGTAAAATGATTTTTTTGACCACTTTTTGATCTTGAAACGTCAGATTAAGTTAACTTTCATTTTCAACTAAGTTGTAAGAGATTTTTAGTAACTATGTTGTCGATATTTGAAAAAGAAATAAAGGTTGTTTTTTTGTTTTTTGTTTTTTCAAACAATCAAGTCGGAAGTGTGTGCAAGAATCAAACCACCTGTTACCAGCCACAGTGGGAACCATGTCTGATGGGGAAACCCGGATCGAGAGCGGATGCCCACTTTATCCTGGATCTTGATTNTTGATGTTAGCTTGTCGATGTCTCAGTTTTATTCGCTGGGAAAATCAATCAGCAGCTTGAGGTGACTCTGCTGCTCTCTAGTGGCGAGAAGCCGTAATGTTGGCTGGTAACAATCGGAATGCATTGTGGGAGATGTAGTTTGTAGTCAATTCGTGCTCAAAACCTATTTTAAGTCAATCATCGGCCTATAAAATGCTGGGGCGGGCCACATAAAATGACATGGCGGGCTACATGTGGCCCGCGGGCCTTGAGTTTGACACATGTGCTCTAGCTGAATCATAAACTACAGAACAGGGACCAGAAGTTTATGAGATGTTGACTTGTTTTGCTTATTTTTGTTTTATTCTTATTAATTTTACATGAAAGGAAATGTTGACATGTTTGATGTTTTGTCAGGACATGAAAGTAAAACTCATTTCAGTTTAATTTGATTTGTGCAGCCGATCCTCAGCGAGTCCCAACTGAAGGTTTACTAAAATCAGTTCAGTTCATTCCAGTTGATCCAGGATCAGTCAGAGCCCTGGGCCCACAGCATTACTCCTCCCAGCGGAGCACAGCAACAGCCGGACCGGTTTCCAGAACAATCTCTGTAGTCACAACAAACCGTCCAAAAATACACGATATACAGAATCCATCATAAAGCATGAGGAGAAAACAGCTGCAGATTGTTATTATAAATCAGTTCCCCGAAATCCTCCCTGCTACTTTTACAACAATGTTTTAGGGCCAAAACAGTTTAAATCTGAGAATAAAATCGTGTGACGATAAAGTCACAATAACTAGAAAAAAATCACATGACGTTAGGAGAAAGAAGTAGGAATTTTTAGAGAATTGCATAATTAAAATGAGAAATGCTGAGCGTCTTGTGATGTTTGGAATAAGGAAATAATCAGTCAGTATGAAATTATTCATAAATCTGATGAAGCTGACAGATGAAACCTCCAGGCTTTCCTCGCTGAAACGATTCATCTACACAGTTCTACCATTTTTATTCTCATAACATTTTGGCTCTTTTGTCACCATAAATGATTCTCATCCTGACTGTAAAGCTGGACCAGAGGCGGAACCGCTCCGGGCCGGTACCTACAGTAGAACCCGGCTGCCACCTGCCTGGTACCAGCATGCTGCTGGTTGTTCTGGCAGCAACAGAACCAGGAATGGGCCCGGTGCGCTGCATCAGGCAGCTACCAGAGCACCCTACAGTCTGAGAAAGGCGGAGCACACACATGCCTCCTGCCTGACCTTTGACCTCCGACCTGACCTTGGCCTCTTGCTGTTTGTTGTTTCTGACTAAATCAGCTTTTTCTGTAGCTTCAGACATGATGTGCATACACCCGGGTCTACAAGCGACCCAGATTTGCTCCGGCCCAGAACCTTTGGAATAGAAACTCTCATGGAGTAAACGTGATGTTTTAGCATGAAGTTAGATGGCCGTCTGTCACTGTGAGGACGGTAACCCTTGGTTGTCATGAAGTCGTTACATCATGTGACTTCTTTGGTCTCATTGGATGAATAAATAAAAAGATGCACCAGATGCAGTTTTCTGATAAACAGTCATTAAGCAAAGCTAGCTGTAAACCCAAGCAGAGCTGAGAGTTTTGTTCTGCTACTGAAAACTCCATCCAGCCTCCCGTCTGGAGAAGCAGCAGTTCCTCCTGAAGGGAACCCTTAAAGTACTTGTTCCCTTGATCCCAGAACCTTCGGTCTTCCTGTTTTCCACTGGTCTCTGTGCTATAGCAGGGTTGTTTTCTGTCGACCCTCAGTCTTCTCCCGCTTGCTTAAACTCAGCTGGCTCTCTGCCAGCGTTGGGTCTGCCCTCCGGTACTGGGACCTGGGAGGTGTGATGGCGGTGAGTTCATGCTGGTCGGCAAACACAACTCTCTGGTTCTCGTTTCGGATGTTTATCATTTTCAAGATGCGCTTGCCGATGAGATAAATCATCTCAAGGATGCACATTAATATGCAGATGGCGCTGGACACGACCATGAAGAGCATGAAGATCTTCTTCTCTGTTGGACGACTGATGAAGCAGTCCACGGTGTTGGGACACGGTGCCAGGGAACACTTGGAGAGTCTGCAGAGAAAGTAGAGCAGATTGAAGCAACTGAAGAACACCACTGTTGTCTTTGCCAGCAAGTAAAGTCCAAAGCTTACTTGGGAAGGTCGTATCCATGGTAGATCCGATACAGAATATAGAGAAACGAAGTGTCAAACCCAGCTTTAAAGACCAAGCTCACTAGATATGTCCACCACAGACCTCCTCTCTTCTTGCCGGGGTTGGCGTAAAGGTGAGAGCCTTGGTGCCCTGCCATGTACTTCCTGTCCTTCCCCTCGCGATATTTAACATGAGCCATGACCATCAGAGATGGGCACGTGACGAAGATTAGCTGCAGCGCCCACAGACGGATGTGGGAGATGGGGAAGATATGGTCGTAGCAGACGTTGTTACAGCCAGGCTGAAAACAAGTCAAACATGTTGAGTTCTGGACCGCTCCAGAAGGAGAGCAACCAACTAGAGCAGAAACACATCATGACAACAGAAAACCTTCGGAAGACCAGAGAGAACAGAGAGACCCGGACATAAACTAGGTCAACATGACTGGTTAGACAGCCAGCTGTGGTGTGCGGGATGAATCAGCCTGAAGCTGTTCCATCTGAAAGCCAGCAGGGGGAGACTCACGTACAGCATGTAACAGGAAATAAATTATGACTTTGACCAAAGTAAAATATCTTTAAATAAGGATGTTTCTAGACCTAGATTCCGTCTTGAGGAGGATGGAGTCCTAAGCTGCATCCAGGCTGTTTAGCCAAAGGTCTTGATGAAGAGCAGGAAAGTCTGAATGAGGTTTTATCGGGTCAACTAAAGGTTGCTATGGAGAGTCACCCAGTGTTCGATCAGGAACCTGTTGGTCCGCCACTTTGACACACATGTTCAGGTGTGTTAGTGTGGAGCTCACCTGTTTGGTGTTGCACACAAAGTCTTTGCTCTCGTCTCCCCACACCCTCTGGGCTGCCACTACGAACACCATGACCCGGAAGACAAACACCATGGACAGCCAGATCCTCCCGAAGGCTGTGGAGTACTTATTGACCCCACTCAGCAGATTCTCCAATCCGGACCAGTTCATCCTATCGGGTTAGGGTTCTGGGACACACCCGGGTTCTGACTGGGGCAGGAGACAGGAGACATCAGTAAGACATCGTGAGACATCGTGAGACACCTGACACTCCAGTCCAACAGGTCCGGTTCTAGAGTATCTGGGCGAGTCACGTTAATCCCTTTGTCTTCATCGCTGCTCTGACCAATCCCTCATAACATGGTTCTGTTTGGACCTCCAGTCCATCAGAACCACCGTTCAGAGTCTAACCGGGTCAGAACTTCACCCAGCCAGGGCGTCTGGTCCATCAGAACCTTGCACCCAGTTTGGTAAACTGTGGTTCTAATTGAAGTTCTGAAGAGGAACAGAACCCTGGTAGTTCCTCTGGACTGGAGAGGAAAACAGGAAGACCAGATGAGCTCTGATGTTTGATCACTAGGTTCTGACCGGTTCTGACCCGGATCATGGTGTTGTTCTCAAGGAACTTTGAAATGTTTCTGTATCCTCTGACCTCCAGACGGCAGCTGGCCGCTCAGACTGAGCCCAGTTCTGGTTCTGGTTCTGGGAGAATCCTTTAACAGGTTTCTTCTTGTTAAGGGGAGTTGTTTCTCTCTGCTGTCGCCACATGCATGCTTGGCCTGAGGGACTGCTGCAAAGTGCAGTCTGCTGGGTTTCCCCAGAAACTTTTCCAGCCAATTTGAATGAACTGAACTTGATTCTCTGACTGATAACTGGGATCAACTGGAAAGACTGGACGATTGAAGTGCGATGTGTTGTGAATTGGTGCTATAGAAATAAACTGCATTGAATGGAAAATCAATTTCTACGAATGTGTTTGTTTATTGGTAGTATCAAACATTTCTATGGTCAAAATGGCTGAGTTTACGCATTTCCTGTTAACATGAGGCAGTCCAGTGCTTCGCCTCTGGGGGCGCTGTTTCACAGCGTGAATGAAACAGACGGTCTGTGTTGGCCTGAGGCGGCTAGTTTAGCTCAGTGGGGGCGGTTGTTTACGGTAAACCGTCTGGAGGAAGCAGAGCGGAGGACAGAGAGCTGGTTGTTTCCAGCTGTGTGCGCTGTGCGTACCTTGATATTTTCATTCAGTCAAAAGGAAAAAAAAAAAAATACAGTCATTGGATTTTTCATTATCTAACCCGCTTTACTATTAACAAAATTGTGGATAAAAAGGTATTTGTATCGAAACATTGTGTACACAGCGCAGCGGTGTGAGTCTGTGGGTGGGAACATGTCCGTCCTAAACCTGGATGTTGTTGGTCGGCTTACTTTTGTTTATTTGGCAGCTTGGCGCTTTTTCTCTGAGCTAACTGTGACAATGCAGTGAAGCTAGGTGGGGATCTTTTGGGTCCGGTGCACTGATAGTATTTTTGTATCCTCTGATAATATCCTCCAGGCGCCCCTCATCGCTAATATACATTATTTAAAAACCTGTTGACTTTAAACAGTCTAGCATGTTTAATGAATTTGTGTGGCATATTTAGTCCTTCTGCTGTAAATGCGCAGGAGGCAGATGGTACAGTGCCCCACAGATAGGGGGCAGTGCTGAGCCCGATGGGCAGAATGAACAACAAAGACTGAAAATGATGAGAAAAATCTGGACGGAGGAGAGATCGTCTCTGTTAAAGCTGCCCGATTTAAAAATGAACAAAGAAAAGAAGAAACTCTTATTTAAATTTAAGCAGAAAAAGAGATGTCAGCCTAAAAAGCATTAACATAAAAAAGTCACATTTAAACTTATAAGTTTGTTATTTTAAGCTTTTAGTTTTATTTCCAGAGTTTCTGTCTGGAAGTAAATGTTATTATTATTCAGTATTTGTTTATTTTTCTTGCTATAATTTTGCTTAACCACATGGAATCGGTTAAGGCGTAAATAAAAGCTTCAGGTTAAAACGGAAAAATACGTTTTTATTTTGGATTTAACATTTGGATGAGACATGAAATGTGGTTCTGTTTGGACCTGATGGAGCTCTGGTACCGAGTGGAGGTCTAACAGAACCTCTGGTTCTGGCTGCTGCTTCATGTCACTGAAGGAGAGGAACCGGCCCGACCCGCTTTGATAAACTATGTGGGACCAGCAGGCCAGAACCCAGGAGGCTCAGCGGGTCTGAACCCGAGGTTCTGCTCACATCCACGAGGTTGTGAAGGAACTCATGGTTAGCTTGTGGATGTCTCTAACTCACGACCAGAACTGGGGCCGGTTCTGGAGCCGGTGACCCAGCCCAGCAGAGGTTTCCTCAGGAAGCTGCTGGGAGGGAAGTTTTCTCGTCTCGCTGATCAAGATGGGAAACTTCCTGTAAAACTGTCCTGGATTTCAGGTTCCTCTGTGGTTCTGACCTAAACCTGGTAAAACAGATAAAACCCAAACCAACAGAACCTTACCTGGTACCAGATGTCTCAAACAGCCAGCGAGTGGAGCAGAGGAAACTCTGGATCGTCTCCCTGCCCTGTGAAAATTCGACGGATCGGCAGCGGTGTCATCAGCCTCACATCAGCACAAAGCCTGAGCAAGTCCCGACCTGAGACTCCCCGCCTCCAGCAACCAAACCCAGAGCAACTCAGCTGGAGCAGAGCGGCCGTCCTGCCACTTAAAGGGCCAGCGCCTCTTTTAGGGGGGAGGAGAGGGGCCACGCCCTGCAGGGCCTGCTGACGGAGACCAGATGTTCACAGAACCAGAATCTCACCGGACCAGAACCTCTGCTGTCATCCAGACTCAAAGTTCGCACATAATCAGAGGAAGCGGCTCTGAGCTTCATGACAAAGGGTGTAAATACTTATGGAAATGTGATTTCTTGGTTTTCTACTTTTAATAAATTTGCGTAAAATTCAAAACCCTCTTCCACATCATCATACTGGAAAAGCTGGAACATTTCAGCATGTGGAGAAAGTGAAACACTGTGAATGCGTTCTGGATGTTTATCTCAGAACAAAATCAATAAAATGTCATTTAGGTTCAATTCTTTTGAATATTTAACGCTTAGTTTCCTCATCCTGGTTGCACTAAAACCACTTCTGTTTGTTTTGCTCTAGATCTCTGATTTCTTTTCTGTTTTAGTGTTAAATGACTTTAATGTTCATGATGACACTAAATATAGCCTGTAATGCTACTCTGTGACTTTCCTCCAGTCTTCACCATAACCCTGCACTGTCTGAGCATTTTAATAAGCTTTGAGTTCATTTAACAGAGTATTCCAAAGCTGGGAGAAATGTTCACCACAGCATCAGGCTGCGCTGATGTTCATATTGTTACTTCCTCATTAAACAATGAAGTCCTTTGAGAAAGAAGCTGCTTACCACAGGTCGGCCCCCTGGTTTAATTCAGAACGCTAGAAAACTGGAGGAAATGCCACTACATTATTACTTTAAATTACATTATCACAATGTGTTTTAAAATTGTAATATTACAAATTACATTGTTATAATGCTTAATAATTAGTACTTGGAAGAGTAAGAACAGTACGGGAGCTAGGTTCACTCAACTTCAGCTGAGATCAACAGAGTTAGAAATCTGATTCCACATCTTTTTTTTCACACAACTCATTCCTTTAATTTTGAATCTCACTTATTCCTGAATGTCAGACTTTAAATTGTAAACAGGAATGATAAAAATCTTCCCCAACTTTTAGCATCTGTGAACTGCTGACATTTCACTTTTATTACACTCATTGTGCAGGATGATCAACAGGCTACCAGCACTTATGTAACATTCTGTTGTGCCACATCTGTTCACCTCTGATATATTATTGCAAACATTAGGGGTTATAAATTGTAGCTTTCTTATGTTAAAACAAAGAAACATCAAGTTTTGAAAACAGACGTCTTATGTTTCCTTCCCACCAACCCAAATCCTTTCCTGTTTCATTTAAATAAATTAAAGAAAACTTGCAGCACATAGATGATAAATACACAATAAAATCACCAATTGCATAATTTGCATCACATTTCTAAACTATTTAAACTTTTTTTGTATAGATATACTTATTCAGAATGTACAACCATACAAAATCTACATCCAGTGTACAATACTACATTCTTTTTGGGGGGAGTTGAAAAAAACAACTTCAGAAATAAAACCCACCCCCTCTCTCCATGTAGCAACACATTCGGTGGTTTTACATTTAGCGCTACACATATTTTTGAAAGGCCAGATGTGACGATCCCCTCCTGTCCAGTAGGTGTCTCTGTGTGTTTTTTCTTGTTTCTTTTCAGGAAGCAGGTAGATGGGCTGTTAATTGAACACACCGGCAGCTGATAAATCCTGACATCTAGTCAGTCACTGGTCTGCTTGATTGCCCTCCAGACCAGGCCGGAACGAGCAGCATCGGTCCACACTTCTCTCTGACTGGCTGTGCAGATCTCCCAGAGCATATTTTTTCATAAAATAAATTCCTGTTACTTTAGATCCGCTCGTCTGTCTCCCATTTTTGTCATCGCCTTTGAGCTGGGCGTGACACAGAGTTAAGAGAAAAGAAATACAATAAATATTAAAATAATTTAAACAAGACAGTAAAGATCAATACAGATCAGTCTCTCAGATCTAATCTGGTTAGAATGTCCAGGAAGGGAGTCCATATCTGGTCAAACTTAGCCAATGTCCCACATATCGAATGGAGAATTTTTTCAGAAGTGCAGTATGATAACAGTTCGTTGATCCAATGTTTCTTGTTTGGAGGCTCCATAGATTTCCAATTTTTAAGTATACACTTTTTTGCTGCAGATGATGCTAACAAAACAAAGTATTTCTTGTAAGGATATCATTTCAAGGACAACATCTCCAAGTATCCAAATCCTGGGGTCAGCATCTAAAGAAAGCCCACAAATAGCTGATGTTGTCAGAATTACATTATTCCAGTAGGTTTGGAAGTGCACACAACACCAAAGCATATGAAGAAGATCCCCTACAGACGTCTTATGATTTTATTAAAAAAAAAAAAAAAAAAGAAGCAAATTTAATGTAATGTGGACGTGAGCGGAGTCCCCTCTTGGTCAGACACAAGTAAATTATTACAGTAAAATACAGGGAGAATGTATGTAATTCACTCTGAATCTGTCTGAATAATTAGATAGAACGTATTACATATTTATATGATGTGCCTAGTATGGAATATGTTTCTTCTATTTGGCAAAGTGCCTTGAAGCAACATTTGTAAACAAACAGAACAGAGTTGAAATGGAAAGATGAATACAAGCTGGTTTGTGTGTAAAAACTGGTAGATTTTGATTACAAAAAAAAAAATTATGACAAAGTTATGGATGAGCCTAAAATGAGTCAGGCATTTTGTCGGAGCTACATTCCCTGCTCAGACTATATTCTCAGTTGTAACCATGTGGTAGCGCCTACAAGTTGATCCTCTCCAACATGGCGGCCTTGTTGACGTAGGAGTCCATGAACTGGGGAAAACCGGACGACTTTTATTTTGGAAACTAAGTAAGCGGAAGTCGTATTCCTCCTACCTTATGTCCCTGTCCAACATGTCTCCCTCGCAGAGGAGTCTGTGTCAGTAGTGTGGGTTTTTTCTCCGTGGATCCTCCGCCGTGTGTGAGTATTCCCGTGGGTTTGACGTGTTTTCGGCGTGTCGCAGCGCCGGCAGGTGTGTATCCTTCGGTGCCCGCGGTAACAAGGTCACCGGATCCCGCCCTGAGCTTCAGGCTGGGAACATGGAGGTAGCTGACCTGTTTTCAGAGGAGGTGTCCGGCGGCGCGGCAGCGGACTGGGCAGGGAGCTCGGTTCTTGGTGTCGGAGTGTGGACCGTGAGCGGTAGAACAGCCGCTGGGTTATTTTACCGGTTCCGCAGCCTTCTCTGACGCCACCAACAGAACCAGGCTCTGGTTTGATGAACATACCTCACCGACCTTTGGGGGTCTGACCTACTTTAATGTTCGTCCTCAAAAGGAGCCGTTTCTCCTTTCGGTTCTTCACGCATCTCTTTATTTTAAGTGACAAACCAACTGGGACTTTTGACATGAATCCAGTTAAGATTACCGTCTGAGTTTGGGGCGCTCTCCTCTGCTGTGATTTCCTGTTTTGATTCCACGCGACAAAAAATGACATTTGTGTCGCGAGGCCAAAACGTATTCAAATGATTTCGGACAAATGAAAATGTTTTTCAGCAGAGCTGTTGGTTTAATTTTAAATCCCAGTTAAATAGAGCATGTAAATTTACAACAGGTCAAAATGAAAGTAAAATTTTAAATTACAATAATTTCTGGCAGAAAATAGAAATATATGATCCATAAGTCATGAGCACTAAGAGGGGGAGCATTTGTAGTTTGAATTCAGAAATTAAATTAAATTAAATTAAAAAAATATGTTTTTTCTCCTGAAAGTGAAAGGTTTTAACAAGTCAGACTATCCAAGAGCTGTTGTGGATGTTGATGCTATAGCTAGGAAGGATCTCCAGTAGCAGTCAGTCATGCAACGACCCTGACAAGTCCTCTGACTGAAGTCTGTTGCTATAGTCATCACATGCTAACAGCTCAGTACCCTGGCAGCAGAGACCATTTTCCTGGATGACCTCATCAGTTTTGTCCACTGGTGCTGCTGCCCATAAATAACGCTGCGCGTTAAATGGTTTATTTTAATTCAGTATTCCGAACCTGAGAGAAAATGTCATCAGAACCAACGTAGCAGAGCTGCTCCACCATGCTGCCACCTCATCAGAACCTCACTCTTCTTTACTGGAAATATTTCCCACCTTCACCAGTCATAGTGACTTAAACCAGTGAGGACGTAGTAACTGCTGGTACCAGATTCCAGGCCCATTCAGCAACCAGCTATGTTTTCCTGTCTTCCCCATATTGAGGAATAGCTCAGAGGAACTGGGTTCTATAGAACCCTCCCTGGGTTTGGGTAGCTGTCCCCTAACCGCTCCTGTTCTGTGCGGCAGGTCAGCACTGGGCCAGCAGGTCGAGTTAGCCAGAACCCAGAACCGCAGCAGCATCATCAATGGTGTGTTTACATCCGAGAGTCGTCACGTTCTGCTGTGTCCGCTCAATGACCTCTGACCTCCTCAGCTGGCATCACGGTGAGTGTTTGTAGCAGCTACTTCTGCTACTGTAGCCACTGTTGCTAGCTGCTGCTCGCTGCTAGTAGCAGCAGCTAGCAACAGCAGTGGCTACAGTAGCAGCTAGTAGCTGCTGCTGACCTGGCTGTGCTGCAGGCTGCACCTGCATGGCGTTTGCGAAGCTGGGAGGAGCGTTCTGCCAAGCTCAGCACCTGCTGCTCATCGTGGACAAGTGAAGAGGAGGACGCGCCGTCTCTCCCAGGTCAGTGACTCGGCACTGCAGCTGCAATGCATCATGGGTGATTACTAATGAGCGAGGCGTTTTCAGGTCCAACCCGCCGTCCTGTCGAAGACATATGAAGACGAGCCAATTGTCAGCCTGTGCCGTGTTCTGGAGGCGGAGCTTCTGCTGCCAGCCAATCCTCGCCGCTCCTTCTTCTCTCTAGAGGAAGAGGCCGATCCAACGGCCAGTCTCTGTTGCCAACTGCTGTCTGTCCCGCTGGTTCTAATCCAGTTGCTGGTTTTGATCCGCTGCTAGCAGCTAGTCGGTCCAGACGGTGAAGATGAACCGCCCAGCGCCAGTGGAGATCTCCTTCGACTGTCTGCGTTTCCTCATCACGCACAACCCCACCGATGCTCAGTTGGGGAAGTTCATCGAGGTATGGACCTGACCTCCTCTCTTCCTGGTAGTGGTTCTGGTTCTGACCCGCTCTGTCCTCCTGCAGGAGCTGAAGGCGTACGGCGTCACCACCCTGGTGCGGGTTTGCTCTGCCACGTATGACCAGGCGCCGCTAGGCCAGGAGGGCATCCAGGTTCTGGTGAGACCCGACAGATCCTCCTGTCGCGCCGACCAGGTTAGCCTTCCTCCTCCTGAACCGCTTGTCTCCGCAGGATTGGCCGTTCAATGATGGCTCCGCCCCCCCGGAGCAAGTGGTCGATGATTGGCTGAACCTGCTGCAGGTGAAGTTCAGGGAGGAGCCGGGCGGCTGCGTGGCGGTGCACTGCGTGGCCGGACTGGGCCGGTCAGTAAAGCATGGAAACACACCGTCACCATGGAAACCACTTGCTCATTCCGACAGATCTGACGTTCACATAATCAGTAGTTGTGCAAAAAAATCAAACCTTAAAATGAAAATTAATGCTGGACAAAATCAAACTGAAAAGTGAATGTTGAAGAAAAGTAAAATGTTAAAGCCTGCAGGCATGAAGGTCCATGAAGGAACGCTGAAACACTGACTGCTACAGCTGCGCTGATGCACAACAGTGACAGAATCAGAACGCACTCAGAGAGACGGGTCAGCTAACGCTAACGCTGTGAATGAACCAGAACCAGGCTGAGTCCTGCTGCAGGCCAGAGACCCATTTCAGCTGAACCTGGACCTGATGGAGGTTCTCTTAAAGGTTCTGTTAAAGGTTCTGTACTGACCCGGCTGTGTCTCCCCAGCGCTCCGGTTCTGGTGGCTCTGGCGCTGATCGAGTGTGGGATGGAGTACGAAGACGCGGTCCACCTCATCAGACAGTAAGGGATCTTCTGTTGGTGCCGGTTCTTCTGCTGGTCCGGTTCTGACCGGATCTTCTTCTCTGTGTGCAACAGGAAGCGGCGCGGCGCGCTGAACGCCAAGCAGCTGCACTTCCTGGAGAACTACCGACCCAAACTCTGCCTGCGCTCCAAGGACGCCAATGGCCAGAGCTGCTGTCTGCAGTAGGCCCAACGGAACCGGGTCGGCAGAACCCTCTTCATGGAAACCAGTTTTGATTCATTCCTCATGCAATTCAGACCCGGTTCTGATCCGTTGGTTCTCACAGGTCTCAACCAGCCTCTGTCTGCTCCTATAGCTCCCCTGCTGCTCAGTTTGACCTTTGACCCCTCCTCATTCCTCTGGTTCTGATCCAGAAAAACCCAAAAATGTTGAATAAAGTTGTTTATGCTGAAACTTTTCTAGCAATCTGTCCAGAACCTCCAGTACCCGCCCACAGGTCAGCACAGCCAATCAGCTGATACCGCATTGGTTGCTATTGGATTGCCTTTTCCATGGAAAGTTCTTTCACTTCCTGTGAAATAATTTAACATTGACCTTCAAAATAAAGTTACAAACTAAATATTCAGGATTCAGTTTGTGACTAAAAATATGGTTAACGATCCAAAAACGGCAGCCATGTTGGACCCGACCCGAAGGCCCATAGAACCCGGCCAGCTGCAGAAAGGAGGCAGAAACACACCAGGTTCTTCTGATCCAGTCCGGCTCTGGATCAGATGAGGAACAGATAGGATTCAGAACCGTCTCTGAAGTTCTGCAGAACCGATCCAGGAGGTCCAGAAGAACCAGAACGTCTTCAGGCCTCAGCTAAGGTCAGAGGTCATGGTTTAAGATTTCCTCCAAGGGTCACTCCTGCTGTGGAACCTCCATTGAGTCAAACCAGGTGAAAGGTCATCCTCTGAGTAATCAGCGGTGGTTAGGGTGAAGGCACCGTGGACACATGGCAGCAAGTGACTGATGTCCTACAGCACTGTCTGGACTGCAGCAGAGTTACTGGACCAGAACCAAAACCAGATCTTACTGGGTTTCAGGTTCAAGCTAAATATTTAGCTAGCTAGNGCGTGACTATATATATATATTTTATCCCCCAACCCAAACAATCATGTGCAGGAATCAAACCACCTGTTTCCACCCACAGCCTTTGTAGGAAAAGTTTGGTTTTGGAAGCCAAAAGGCCGTGACATTATGTGTGCCTGATGAGAGTGCACTTGCAAATACGTGAAAAAAGTGACAATGTCGTCGAAACACATGTGCACTGTGACGCAGAGGGAACCGTATCTGATGGGGAAACGCGGATCGATGTAACCCACCGGCAAAGATCAGCCTCTGCTGGTCAGGGGGAGGCCTTCTTTATCCTGGATCTTGATAGTCTCATTATTTTGAGATACTATCTCGAAATAGTGAGATAATTTATTTTATGTTTTTTATCAGAGTTGTGGAAACGGGCTTCCATATTTTTGTTTCAGATTATTTATTTCTATATCAGAATTTTGTTGCAAGTTCAGAACTTCACTGTTGTAAATTCTGTTTTTGTTTTGCTAAACTTTTAAAACGGAATGAAATATTTATTTGAGGTCTGTAATATGTTCATTAACTTGCTTCCAAACCGATCAGAGGAAACTTTGAGCTTCATTTAAAGTTTGTGAATTATAGTTTCATATCAACAGAACTGATCATGAGAGACTAAATCTGGTTCTCTTCTGGACCACCAGAACATTTTCTCTGGTCAGAAAAGGAGGATGGGAATCTAAATTTAGTAGCCATAAGCTCAAAATTATTCATACCACTGGCAGATTTAAATTTATTTTGTAGGAAATACCAGTTTAATATGAAATAAATAAACATTACCTATTTTATTAGAAGGACCTTGTTTATATTGATGATGATGATGATGATGATGGAGGAGGCACTGAACTGCCTGTTCTTCATCGACTAGAAGCCGTGGAACCTGATGATCAAACATCGACACGTCCAGAGACGAGGACGGCGCTCACACACTGCAGTCAGGTGAGTGCAGCTGGACTGTGGTTCTGCTGGTTCTGATGAGTCCAGTTCTGACCCGGTCCAGTCTTATCCCATCCTGTGTTCCACCTGTGAGCAGCTACACGGATCCCCAGGTGTCCATGGACCTACTGAGGGCCGTACTTCAGCCCAGCTTCAACGATGACATCATGGCGGTTTTCAGGAAGTACCAGAAGGTCAGAGGTCACACCATAGGGATGGGGTCACGTGCGGGCAGGTGTGGAGTGTAACCAGGTGCGTCTGTTGCAGTTCTTTGAGAAGGCGGCGGAGAATGTGAAGGAGAACGTTGGCGAAGACGTCCAGACTGACCAGCTGATCCGGGAGGCCTGCAGGAATGTTCTGGAACACGTGAGGTCACTTCCTGTTTCCTCCCATAGCAGCCCAGTCTACCCACACTCACCTGGTTCTGTAATGTCATCACCAGGCCAAACAGCTGTTTCCAGAAGTGGAGGGGAAAAGAACAGGATCAGAAGTCACGATGAAGGTACAAGCCCTCTGACTGACCAATCAGAGCAGGCTGTGACCCAACTTGGTTCTGACCCGGTTCTGTTTGTGCTGCAGAGATCCAGAGCAGCTGATGAAGACTTTGTGATCAGAGGAAATCTTCTACCTAAGAAGGTAGCGTGTTAGCCAGGTGTAGCCTGAGCATCTTCATCTTTGATGTAGGACTAGGCTATGTTAGCTAGCTTGCTGGCTAGGCTATGTAAGCTGGCTAGCTAACAGCTAGATAACATAACATGTACTATGTTAGCCGCCTAACATGGCCGCCTAGCTTTGTTAGGCGGCCATGTTAGCTACTAGCTTTATTGCGCCTGTTGTGGGTACGTGCTAATTCTTTGCCGATTGGCTAAACGCCGAACCAGGTGAGGTTGTTGACTGTTGCCTTCGTGTGATTGGTCCGTCTCTGTCCTCAGAGGAAAAGTCGTCCAGGTCCCGTCGTCTCCTCGGACCGTCCCGCCAGCTACCCTCTGTGAGTACCTGACCAGGTGACATCATCAGTGTCCAGGCAGACCGCAGCACCTCATTGGTTTGAGTTTTTCTCCTCAGAGTGAAGCCGAAGGCAGAGCCTGTGAAGAGGGAGGGGCCAAAGGTGAGTCTGTTCTTAAACTCTGACAGGTGAACTTTGAAGGTGTGGTGTTAGCTGGTTACTGCCACCTAGTGGTCAGGCTGAAGGGAGGAGCCACCTCTAATGGAAATCACCTGTGAGGAAGTTCACCTGTGTGTGTTTCAGTGGGATCCGTCCAGACTCAACGACAGCAGCACCTTCGTTCTTGGCTCCAGAGCCAACAAGTGAGTCACCGGCACCAATCAGAAACAGGCGTGATGTCATGAGATCGACTTTGATAAACTTTGTTGAGTAGCTGAACAGGAAGTGAGTCATTGGCTGCTGTGATGTCATCGCAGGGCGCTGGGGATGGGCGGAACCAGAGGACGGATCTACATCAAACACGCAGACCTGTTCAAGGTGAGTCCGGCTTCCTGTCACATGACCTCTGAGTGCAGACGTGCTGCTGACCTGCGGGGGGCGCTGTGTGTTTCAGTACGCCGCTGACGCCAAGGACAAGCAGTGGCTGGCAGAACGGCACCACATGAGGGCCACAGGGGGCAAGATGGTGAGAACTCTGGTACCACCAGAACATTCTGGTTCTGTTGGCGGTTCTGCAGAACCTCTGGTCTCTGAATCTGACTCGTTTCTTTTCAGGCCTACCTTCTGATTGAGGAGGACATCCAGGATCTGTCCCGCAGCGATGAGTACAGGTGAGGTCTGGTTCTGTTCTCCAGAACCGGCGGTGTGCATTCGGGTCGGGCCAGATGAAACTTGAACAGATTCAGGCTGAGTCAGCCGAACTGATACACACTCTGGACCAGAACCGTACAGCATCCCGACTCTCTGGTGGTTCTGACCCACAGCTCATTGAACTGGATCAGAACCAGACTGGGATGGTGGGAGGAGCCTGTTCTTCTTCTCCTGTTTTAACCTCCTTCAGTTTCATGTTGCTTCTGATATTTGATTTCCTTTTGAGATCAATTTTTGAATTGATTCATATTCCTTTCCTGCAAAAAAGAAATGGACTATTTTCTTAGTTTAAGTTTCATATTTCTTGCTTAGTTTATTGTTGAGCAGGAACAAAATTCTCAAAACCTTTTAAAAAGACAATGGTTTCCATGGTAACCCACGTGTGTTTTCCAGGGACTGTCCGGACGTGCGGATGGATGAGCTGAAGCCATTTGGCGTTCCTCCCTGGATGGTGGAGAAGATGCAGCGCGCCATGGAGGCTCAGAGGGACAACGACCCCTGAAGGTCACATGACCCGAGGCTCTGATCATGTGACCCCTTTGTAACAGTTATGGGCTAGGCAGCTAACTGCAGCTCCAAAAGCAGCATCACAAGATTGTCCTTTTAAGGAGCCTGAGGTGTGAATGAAAACAGGAGGCAGTGCTTTTAGGATTGGTGTATATATGTTAAGTGATTTGAATAAAACCAGACAATTACAGCAGCATGATGAGACAAGATAATTGACTCAGAATAAATTAATTCCAAAATCATAAAGTCCATAGTCCTTTTTCTAGCTTGCCATCTTCAGATCCAGATGAGGATCTGATCCAACAGGAAAACCCCCCGACATTCTGAAAGAGAGTGGAGCGTACGTATCCACAATCAGCTGTGACAGAATCCAGGTGACGGTCCAGGTAATTCAGGCAATCAAATCGGTAAGTTCAAAGATTTGGATCAGTTTGTGTGGAAGATGCCAGCAGCAAGCCACAATCACAGTGGAGACAGGAGGTGAGGCTTTAGCAGAGTTTGGGGCAACGCAGGAAGTGGGCCTGCAAAAATCATTAGTTATAAATTTGTTATAAAAGTATTACTCATTGCACTTTAAAAATTAGATAACTTTGTTCAAAAAGGTAAAGTTTAAACAGTAATGATTTCCTGGTTAATGTCAAGTTGTCATAAAGACATTTTGAATAATGTCAACTTTGTATTAAAAGTGTCATAATTTACTGAATGACGCTTTATGACAACAGTCATAAATATTCATGAAGGCTTATTCATGTTCATGACAGGTGTTATGTCATGTTTATGACAGTGTCATGACAGTCTTATTCAACCCCCTTCAAATAAAGTGTTAACAAAAAAAACCCAATCTGTTTTGTAGACAATGTTTCTGCCGCCTCTCAGCTGTGACATCATTTCTGTGATCAGCTGACCTTTGGTTCTAGCAGACATGAAACTCAACCAAACGCTCTACAGGACATGACGTCACATCTTTATTAGAAAAAAACACCAGAGTGGGCGGGGTCACTCGATTCCTTCCTGTTTGTCTTTAATGGCGACCCGGAAGCGTTCCTCCAGCAGCGACAGCTCACTGATCAAGTCTGTGATGGCATTGGTGAACGCTTCCTGGGGAGGACACAACATCACTTCCTGTTAGACACCACTTCCTGTCAGCAGGGATGCATCTTAGCTGGCGTGCGCATGCAAGTTACCTGGGGACTGTAGTCGGGTGTGGTCTGGACCCGGATGACGATCTTATGCTCCAAGGGGTGAGGGACTTTATAACCGGCGAACAGAACCTGAGGGTCTTTCAGCAGCTGACTGGAACACACACACACACACACACACACACCTGGTCACAGGGACAGCCTACCTGCTGGACCTCTGGTATGACTTTAAAAGACGCTTAAAGACTTTTCTATTTAAGTAAACCTATTCTGCCCCCACATGATTTTTATGATGCTGATTTTATCTATGATTTTAGTTGTACTGTGTAGCACTTTGAGATTTTTGCTAATGAAAAGTGCGGTACAAATTAAATTTATTATGTTTGCATTCAGGTAACAAAAATGAATGAAAACTGAGGAGCAGCAAAAGCAAAGGAGGTGGATTAGCAGCTGATGTCATATGGAGCTGCTAGAATTTTGACATTGTTACACAGCAATAGTTTTCAGTCAGAGGCATCTTTAGAGACAATGCAAGACTGACTGCTACTGGAGATCCATCACAGCATTACTATTTGTTTTACAAAGACAATCTGAGTTATAATATTTAGTTTCCTGTTTGGATAAATGAAGGATTTTTTTTTATTCCTGTTATCAGCAGTAATCCCAATAACCTGGAGCATCATGCTTAAAGCTGTAAGGCTTTACACGATTTTAACATCAAATTGATTTCACCTCTCATTCCAGATATCTGAAACTGATTTATGACTAGAAATATTAGTGAATTAAGATATTTCTAATTATATTTAGACTATATGAAATATCTATTTTAGATGTATTTAGATTTAGTTAATTACATTCTTCCTAGCACAAAATGTCAGTTTTAATTCAAGATGTCTGCCATTAATTACTAAATTGAACCAGATTAATCTGAACATGATATCTGGAATAAACTTTTTCAGCTTTGATCATGTTCACGTTTAAATCTACATTGTTCTTTGTTCAGGGTCACTGCTGAACGTGTTCAGGAACCGGTTCATCCCAGGCAGTTCAGGATCAGGAAAGTTCTGTTCTGTTCTATTTGGACCGGGTTTGTCTGCTGTGTGGTTCTGTTTGGACCGGGTCGGTCGGTGTGGTGTGTGAGATGGTCTCACGCTCGGATGATGTTGCCCAGCGTGTGGTCCTCCTTGTTCAGTGTGAACAAACAAGCGTTGGGAACCTTCGTGTCTTTGCTGATGCTGATCTTCTTTTCTCCCTCGAACAGCAGAAATGACTCGAAAGCTGGAGGAGCGTTCATCTTTCCGTCCGAACCGAACTTGGATCAGAAATACCGCTCAGAAACACTTCCGCTCGACTGCTTTTCTTCCTCTTCTTTAGTGTTTACCAACAGCTTGTTGCACTAGTGCCATCTACTGGATTTTACTTCCGTTCTTCTTCTTCTTCTTCTTCTTCTTCTTCTTCTTCTTCTTTGATGTGCATTACCGCCATCTACTGGACAGAGATGCTACATGTGCATTATCCCTCCCACAAAAATATATACATTCTCTATATCCTTTCAATTTCGTCTTCTTAAGGTATTTAAGGTAAAGAACAAATTATTCAGAAGTATAAATTGTGTCCAAAATATCTTGTTTATTTAACTATAGTTTATTGTATTGTAATCTACATAATTCCCTTCTCTCAACAGAATATTTGGAACAGAACAACAAAACGTGTATACTGTCTCTTCTTGAAAACAAAAAATACATTTTCTTTCCTCAGATTCTCTTAAAGGGTCAGTATTGCTCAATAACCTAAGCCATTATTCAACTGAGCAACCACATTTACAAACTCAAGTTCCCAATTTCAACCTTCCAATGGTCAATATTAGGCCCAAATATTTTTCTGTAACTAATGAAAACATGTTCTGTCATTTTTGCAGCAATGACGATGTTTCCCCATCTTAAAAAGAGTGACATTCACTTCTTATTCTGCTTATAATTATGTCCTCCCTCCTTTTTACTCCACCAATTCTTGTAACATCAACTGTATTTTGTATTTCACATAAATGTCTTGCTTTTATCTCATTATCCACCTCATTTTCCATGATTTCTTAACAAACATTTTCCTTCAGATTTAGATAACTTTATCAAAATCTACCTGAGTCCACATTGTTTCTTTTGTAATCTCATATGTATTGGTGATAACTTCTCTTTTCAACGCTTAACAGACTATAATAAATCACTACATTTAAGTTTGTTTTGTATATTTTTGTTCTTTAATGATAAGAGTGTGAATAAACCTCAGCAGCTCTAGAAGCAGATTTATTTATAGTAATTTAATATTATGACATTTCAGATCATATTTTGTTTTTTTCCAATTAATTTATGAAAATTGACTTATTGACACTGGAAAACAAAAAATAATTAGAATGTTTGTTTTCTTTCGGAGTTTCTATTAAATTTTGAAGATTTTTTTTTAACTCCTTGTATGTGACGTCAAACTAAAATCGTAACTTACGGAGTTTCCGGTTTAATTTCCAAACCAACTTCTTGAATAACCAGCCGTCTCATTGGTGCGTTTTGGATTATTTGGGTTTGAAAGTCGGACGCTGATTGGCTGTTGCCGAAGGAAAGTCTGTTTAAACTGAGGGGCGGGAGAAAGTTCAGTTTATACTCCGAACCGGCAGCAGCTGCTTCTGGACTGAAAGTGAGCTGATACCGAACCGATACCAGGTGAGTCTCTGATGTGGACCGGTCAACCAGCTGACGCGTTTACCTGCTGGGGTCACGTGCTGTTTGGATGTTTATTTGTTTGTTTACTCCGGGTCTGGGGAGACAAACAGGCTAACGGCCGTTAGCATGTAGCTAACGGATTGGTCAGGGTTCTGACCCGGAGCCCGCAGGTACCAGGGGCCGGGCAGCTCCCGGCTCTGTCCAGCAGCTTTGACCGGGTTTCAGAGTTCGGCCCGGTTCATTCCCTCTCTCTGTCCCCAGCACGAACCGAACTAAGAGAACCCATGGCTTCCCAGAACATGGACCCCGCAGCGGCTGCAGCGTCATCCGCGGCCGCCCTGAAGGGCAGTGAGAGCGGCAGCAGCGCCGCCAGAGGCTCGGTGACCAAGCGGTGAGTCTCGAATCGGAACCTCCAGAACCGGTCCAATAAGCAGAGCGACTAAGTCAGAAGCAACAAAACGTCATTTTGTTACCATGGTAACGGAGGAACATGACTCGCAGCAGACCCAATAGCTCTGAGTTCCGGGTCCAGAACCTGCTGCGTGGACTGAACCTGCTGAAGCGACTTATTGGTGGCTTCAGAACCGCCAGTCTGGGTTGGGGTCCAGTTAAAGTTCAGGTTCACAATCACTGTGTAAGACTGAAGGACTGAGTGTCCAAACACAGGAGCTCCACAGGGCGCCGGTCTCTCTCCGTTCCTTTCTTTCTCTGCACTTCAGCCTCTACAGAAACACTCAGATTATATATTAGTTCATCAGAGACGGACAAGAGGCTGAGTACAGACCGCTGGTAGACCGCTTCTGGTCACGGAGGGAACAATCAAATCATCTTAAATGTGAGCAAAACAAAGTAGATGACCAGGATCAAAGGTCAAACCCTATTTACATCATGGGGGAAGAAGTGGAGGTGGTGAGGAATATAAAAACATGGATGTTCATCTGGACACCAGAGAGGAAGGAACAGAGACGGAGGAAGAGAACATCCTTCAGGGTTTGGATCTGCTGTCAGTCTGTTGGTGAGAGCAGCATCAGAACCAGAGGCCTAAAGAGGCTCAACAGCCTGAGTCTGGTTCTGGTTCTGCTCCAGAGGCCGTGGAGCCTCTGGAGATGATGATGCAAAGAAGGATTCTTCATATGATCAAGAGAGTTATGGCCAATCCTGACCATCCTCTTCATGTTGTCTTCAGTCAGAGTCTTCAGATTTAGTGCAGCACAGACTGCTACAGGAGAGCTTTCCTGCACCAATAACTCTTAGAGGAATAAAGCACTTTTGAATTTCTCTCTCTGTCCTCAGGCTGCAGCAGGAGCTGATGACCCTCATGGTGAGTCCATTTCCTGACTTTTATTCTGTTGCCATAGTAATTGATGGCCTGTTACCATGGTAACGGGGTCATAGATTGGTTCGGTGACCAGGAGAAATGTAGCAAACCCAGAGTGTGGACCGATGGATGACTCTGGTCAGAACCGGGTCCAGATGCGGTCCTGCTGGTTCTGAACTTCAGACACCAACATTAAGAGCTTTCTGAACACTATCTGGACCACTGGATGATGTCATCAGAACTCTTGGTTCTGGTGGGGGAAACCAGCAGAACCAAGAGTTCAGCTGGTTCCGGTACCAGAACCATCCAATCAGACGTAGGAACAGGGAGGGACGGAGTTCTTCCTGCTGTCGGGTCGTCACCAGATGATCCAGAACCAGTTCATTCCTCCATGGTTGATTAAAACACTGAATGCCCAGCAGAACCGGCCCGATTGGGCCCAGCAGAATAGACCCTGACCACTGGGGATGAACTGGTGCTGGTCACCTGACACCGCTTCACTCTGAGCATGCTCAGACTCATCTTTGGTCACATGATTACTTAATGCATTGCCTGTGGTGTGACCTCTGACCCGGGTCGTGTGACCTCATGCTGCAGATGTCGGGTGATAAGGGCATCTCAGCGTTTCCAGAATCTGATAATCTCTTCAAATGGATCGGAACCATCGATGGAGCTCAGGGGACAGTGCGTACTCACCCGTCTCTGTGTTTATGGTTCCCCTGACCCGGTTCTGACCTAGTTCTGCCTCCAGGTGTACGAGGGGCTGCGGTACCGGCTGTCCCTGGACTTCCCGGCCGGCTACCCGTACCAGGCTCCCCGGGTCCGGTTCGTGACGCCGTGTTTCCATCCCAACGTGGACGATCAGGGCGCCATCTGCCTGGACATCCTGAAGGACAAGTGGTCGGCTCTGTACGACGTCCGCTCCATCCTGCTGTCCGTCCAGAGCCTGCTGGGAGGTACCAGAACTGCCAGAACCAGTTCCAATTGCCCTCCACCGGGTCACTAACTTGCCGTCTCTCCCCAGAACCCAACAATGACAGTCCTCTGAACACGGCCGCCGCAGAACTGTGGGAGAACCAGGATGGTAAGCTTACCAGAACCAGAACCTCCGGCAGTAGTTTAAAGCTGGGCGGCCCAGTTGTGTTCTGACCCATTTCTATTCATCACTCTGATTAGATCAGCTGTTCCTCTGTAGCCAATCAGTGCGCAGGATCTCTGATCAGAGCTGTGATTTGTCAGTCTGCCTTCAGTTCTCTGCCACACATTTCAGATTTTGGCCTGGTCCAAATCCTCCCCTCTCTCTCATGTTGAAGGTTAAAGGTCGCAGTATGTCCCACATTCTCCACATCCACCTTCGCCCATTTTGGGTTCTATTTCCGTCCTTAAGCGAAGTCCGCATTTTTACTTCGGCGAAGTGTATTACCCACAATTCATAGCGGCATGTGACATTTTGAGTTGAAAGGAGGATTTATGGCGGTGTTTGTTGTTTTTCTGTCTTTTAGAAAATTCAAAGAAATATTATGACGAGGCACATTAGTGATAAAAAGGTTTGATATAAACTGAGCAGAAAAAGAAGCAAAAAGAATAGTCACAAACTGAGGAAAGTAAAACAAAATGTCACAAATGAGACAAATTTCAACTGACAAACTTTACACACATTTATGAAAGTAATATCTTAAGTTTATTTGTGGGAGTGGAATAGAAAGCTGCTTGGTTCTCATTAACATGATTTTTAAACAAATGTTTTCTTAGACTAGAGGAGGAAACTGATGAATTATTGTAACATTTTTGGTTCATAAAGTCACAACATTCATAGTTTCTTTTAAAAATGACATTTTAGTTCCACTAGTCTTTATTTTTCACATGTAGCATCAGACGTTTTTATTTTTATATATGCCATATTGTCCTTAACTTGATCTTTGTTAGCTCCACTTCATACCAAACTAACTTTTAGCTGCATAAAACAGATGGTTAAAAAAATCATGTCTCCATTAGTCAAATAGAGATAAATTGATTATTAGAACATTTTAATGTGTATTTTTTGCCGTTTTGGAAATATGGCGAAGTTCACAGAGCGAGCTGTCTGTCGCAAAAAATAGAATAAAATCAGTTTTCAAAAGTAAAGTATTGAAATTATTTTTGTTTCTCTAAACATGAGGGATTATATCGAGTTTTCTGTATTCAACAAGTCACAAAAAACACATTCCTCCAGCAGAAATATCTTTACTGAACATTTCAAATAATCTGTTTTGTTGTAGTTTTTGGCAGCAGAATGGCTAAACAGAGCCAGGATGAGACGTTTTGACCCTGATGTGACCTCTTCACAGAGGGAGCAGGGCCTTTATTCTCTGAGCAGCGGTTATTCTGCAGTGCATGATGGGAGCTGTCAGTCTTGACGCAGTGCATGATGGGAGTTGTTGTTTCTCTTGCAGCCTTCCGGGCTCACCTCCACGCCACGTTCCAGCAGTGAAGCAGCTTCTCTGTGTCTGATTGTATCATATTTTTATGTTTGTTCGCCTCTCTGTGTTAATAAAGAATAAGGTTCTTAATCAAACCAGACTCTGTGTCTACATGGGGACCAGAACCAGAACCATGTGAGCCGCCCGCTGCAGAACCAGAATCCGGAGTCACATGTAGCCGTTTTCTCCCTCCTGGGGTTTTATTTGTTCCTTGTTCTAGAAAGTTAAACTCATCATAAATCATCACAAAGTGAAATATTTCAGATTTTTCTGGTTGTGGATGGAAGCCCAAACTGAAATATTCAGATCAATAAAACAGATTTTGTGCTGCAGAGCCTTCATGAAGACTCTAAAGGTTCTGGTAGACGCGTTAACTCTGGACCCGACAGAACCAGCAGATCACCTGTTGACCCAGATCTTGGTCGTCTGCTCCTTCAGATTGAATGGATGGACACTTCTTCCTTCCACTCAACTTTCTGTGCAATAATTTTCACATGATTCTAATCCTGTGCTATGTTCTGGGTCAATATTTCTATAGAAGATTTCTGTTGGAGCTCTAGGAACCCTGCTGAACCAGCAGAACCGATCCGGGCCTATCCGACCCAGCAGCAGGTTCCCTGGCAGCAGGCAGGCAGCCTGGTGCTGCCACCGCCACTGGACGCCACCTCCATCAAGTCCTCCAGGCTTTCCTCTGGATCCTCAGCGTCGCTCAGAACCTCGGCCCACGCCGGCTGGGTCGACTCCACTGACCAGAACGCCACCGGGACCTGCAGAACCAGAGAGAGCTGAGCCTGGTTCTGCTGAGCCCGGTTCTGCTGAGGTTCTGGAGGTGGACTCACCCTCTGCTGCAGCTCACCCAGCTGGGCCTCCAGGCGTGCTATGTGATTGGTCAGATCTGGACTGGGCTCTTCCTCCAGAACCAGCCAGGGGATTTGGACCAGCGCCACCCAGGCCGCCAGACCCACTGGGCCATCGGTACATCCTGAGAGGAAACGGCAGAAGAAGAGGATGCTCCAGTCTGCCCTCTAGAGGCAGAACCCTGCAGGTCACTTCAGGAACAAAATCGCAGATGTTTTTCATACTTGATCCGATTTTAATATTTTTTTCCCTCTTCTTTTGTAAAAAAGAAATTACAGAAAATGTTTTTAAAAAGTGGATTTTATTCAATCATCGTTTCTGTGAGTTTTAAGAAGGATTATTAAAGCCATAATATTAGCAGAATAAAAATGCAATTTTACCGGAAGAACGTTTTAAAATTAAGAAAAAAAAAGTCACTAATTAGTACTAATGTGTTAAAACATGAAGCTTTTCCTTATCTGTAAAACTTTTAAAAAGTATAACTTCACAAGATGCTCAACATTTCTCCTTTTGATTTTTTAGTGTTTAATTTTTACAACTTTATTCTCGAGTTTAAAAGAAAAGATAACCATAAACTAGTCCTAATACTCCGTCTTAAAGTTGACCTGAATTCAAAGTCCAATCAAACATTTATCAGACAAGATGGCCGCCTGGACGATGACATCACTCTGACCTACAGAAACGCGAAGAGAGCATTAGCTTAAAATTTTTTCCACAAATTAAATCTTCATAAACCAAATTAAATTCATTTCTAAAATCAGTTAATCGCCCAGCCAATCAGACGCCTGAGGGCGGAGCCAACAACTCACCTGTGTTCACCAGTGAGCGTCTGCTGGAGCGCTGGGTCAGAGGGAACTGACCAATCAGATCTTTGGCCCTTCGGAGGTCAGACAGGAAGTTCTCCACTGCAGACAGGAAGAGCACCCAGAGTCGTTCTGAAGCATGTCTGTCATCCACGGCAATGGGGGCGGAGTCACAGGCTGACAGCAGGCGCAGCAGGCGGCGAGACAGACCTGCAGAGGGACAGGTGAGTCCAGCAGAGGGACAGGTGAGTCCAGCAGAGGGACAGGTGAATCCAGCAGAGGGACAGGTGAGTCCAGCAGAGGGACAGGTGTTACCTGAGCAGATCCGGTGAGCCAGCGCTCTCGTCTCGTCCATCTCTTCCCGTAGGAAGCTGCTGTCGGCTGAACTTCCCAGCGACGCCGCCAGCTGCTGGAAGCAGGAAGTGACCCGACTCAGAGCGTTCTGAGCCCGCTCACACTCTGCCTGCTGCCGCCGCCGTCCCGCTGTCAGCTCGTCCACCGAACGACGCCACCGACTCATGATGACAGCCAATCAGAGCTCAGTGTCGGCCTGTGACGTCATCAGAAGGTCAGCGGGTAACTGGTTTGGGTTCAGTCTGGTTTAGATAGAAAACATTCGGGTTCTGGTTCTGATTGATGGTGATCACCACTGGCGCATTCAGAAAGTTTTCAAAATGGTGAGCAGACCAGGTCAGTCAAAATGTTTGGGGGGGGGACAGCTAAAATAATTCTCTGGGGGGCAACATGACTGCAATGGGGCCGAGGCCCCCTGTCCCCTGGGCGCGCCACTGGTGATCAGCGGACATTTGACCGCCAGGCGGTCCAGAACCGGTCCTTCTGTCTGTCTTCACGTTTCCCTTCTTACGGTTCGCTAAAGAACGAGCCGCTTGAATCCAGACAGCAGAACAACAGGACTGCCATCCGACTTACCAAGAGGAGCTTTGGAGACTCTGAGCTTTAAAACAAACTGCGGAACGACGTCAAACTCCACAGATACAAAAACTCATCCAGGAGTTTTCATAGCTGAACATCAACTGAGTTGATGATACAAGAAGATTCTGTCTGAGAACGGCTCGGTTTTCTGTTATCTGCTGAGCCGTACTTTACTTTGCTCTAACATATTTGCATTAATAACTACTGTATATATTAGTTTAATTATGATAAATATATATAAAAAAAACTTTCATTTACAGGTTTAAACAGAATAAATCAAAAGGAATATAAGCTCTAAAAATTAAAACTAAAAATTTACTTGACATTTTGGTGCAACAAATTTATACTCATAACTACTGAGTGGACTGGAAGCCAGTCAGACCTGTCAGATATGCTTTATCAGTCGCATAACTGCAACTTAACCGTCTTGGTAAGTTGAGTGGACACTCAGAGGGAGTACCTCAGAAACAGGAGGGTTAACAAGCTAAATTAATAAATATAACTGACATTATAAGTTAGAAAAATAGCAAAGTTCAGTGAAAGACACATAATTAAAAATGTTACTGAAATATTTGGTTGTCACTGATGGATCAATATAAAAAGTTGTTTAATTTACTTCATTAGAGTGAACCTCCACCATGCTGCTACCTGATGAATTGTTCTTCTATTAAATAATTAAGAACATTATTATTAAAGGACATGTTGAGAGATTTACCTGAAGCGTCTCACCTGCTGCTGCTCCCACCTTCCTCTGCGGTGGACGCAGGTTTCTGAAATCACTCAGGTTCTGCTGCTCCACAGGGAGCGTTTGTGTTTTTAATTAACAGGTAGAACAGCTGAGTGCGGATCGCTCTGGACTCCCAGAGGCCCGCCCCTCTAAGCCTCACCTGTCCAGGTGGAACAGAGAACAGGTACGGTTTTTCCATTGAGGAGACGGAGTGTGAACTGGTTACATCACCCAGTGAGTCATGTTTCTGTCCCAGCTCATCAAATCCTCCTGAAAATCATCCTGCTAGAACAGCTAAGCTGCAAAACCTGAAACAAATCAAACTGGTTTTGTCTCCATTACATTTATTAGTTTCTACAAAAGTCGGCAGTCCGCATGCGACCGGACAGGAAGTGACAGGAGGTCCAAATCGCCACATGATTAACACACAATTGATAAGTGATCAAGTCAAACGTTGGCACTTTGACAGGAAATTAAACCGATTATCTGCAGAGCTTCAGCCTTCCATACAGTTAGCTTAGCACAAATACTGGAAACGGTAGCGGAGTCAGAGACAACAGAACTGAATTTAGCATCATGTTAGGAGAAAACAGAAATTACCCAACTTTATTTCTTATCTTTGTCCATGGCTAATGTTTCCACTTTTCATGCTAAGCTAGGCTAACACTTTCCCTTCCAGTCATTTTGCTAAGCTAAGCTAACACTTTGCTTCCAGTTTCAGTACTGAGCTAGCATAACTTTCACTTACAATCATTTTGCAAAGATGGAAAAACACTTAATTCCTACTTTTTATGCTAAGCTATGGTAATACTTTACCTTAATTTCCAGTATTTATGCTAAGCTAGGTTAACCCTTTCTCTGTCTTTTCAGTCTTTTTGCTAAATTCAACAAACACATTCTCTCTGTTTACCATTCTTGTGCTAAGCTATGCTAATGCTTTCCTGTTATTACTGTCCTTATGCTAACTCAGTCCTAACCCATAGCATTTACCAACATTTCTTGTGTTTGCGCTACATTAGCCTAACATCCATTTTCACCAGTCTATGTGCTAGGCGAGGCTAGCGTGTTTCCAATGTTTTGGGTTATTTTGTTAAACTGGTTATTTTGTTACTGGCTGATAGGCTGTCAGAAGGTTCACTGACAAACAGAATTACATATTTACATACAGATTGTTACACAGCATGTCATTAGCAACATGCTAACAGGAGTTTCTAGCCTGTCCCTCTCTGGCTGTGAGGATGAAACTTCTGGTCCGTTTCTGTTTTGGCCAAGAAAGTGATGCTGGTGCTCAAAAGAGGAGGGGCCTTTACCGCCTCCGCCAATCAGGAATCAGCTGAGAGTTCAGGTCTTGTGTTCGCCGCTCTGGTGTCCTTGTTGCCATGGCAGCAGCCTTCGTTGTCGTCATGGCAGCCTGCGTGCAGCGATCGCCTCCCTCACCTCATGACAGATGCACTGGCAGAATCCATAGAGAACGAGCAGCAGCAGCGTGGACGGCACCAGGCTGACCAGAACCACGCCCAGCAGCAGCTGGCCCATCATCAGCAGGTAGATCCCCAGAGGCAGCGAGCTGAAGTACACCTGGGGTCAGAGGTCACACACCTGAGTACGTTCACCTGGGGCCAGGGGTTGTGGGGCATCATGCAAACATTTTGCGTTACTTTTCACGCAGAAACAGCGTGTGAAGTATTCTACGTTTACGCGTCAAAATTTTCTGCGTACTTTCATCATAATCGTCAGCTTTATTTATAAAACGCTTTAAGTGCAGCCACAGCTGAACATCAGTAATGAGTTAAAAACTCAATAAAACGACGCAGTTAAACCGATAAAATTAATACCAATAAAGATTAAACAACTTAAATCTATGCTTTGTTTTCACATCTAGTCTCACAATAATCAATAGACCAATAAGCATGATAAACTAAAACAAGCTCAATAATTTTGCATGATTTATTGTTTTTGTCTTCCTACCAAAGTCTTCAGTCTGAAGGTTTTTTTTGAAGGGTAATTTTGAGTCCAGAGACTTCATAATTCATTTTATTTGTTGTTTCTGTAGTTCTAAAATGTTCATTGAAATTTTAAGTTTATTGATCTTTGAGAATGATTTCTTGCATTATTATGCCATTTCTATTATATTACTGGAAATTCTCTCTTTTTATCTGAAATGCAAAATGTTTATATTTTTTGTACAGAATGTTTTGTTCAAATAGGGTTTGTAAACGATTAATCAATTATTAAATTAATTGACAATTATTTTAATAATTGATTAATTGGATTAATTGTTTTAGTGGACCTACTAATTTGTTAGTGATGGTGCTAGCTTTGTGTGTCACTGACCATGCACAGCGCCCCCAGCAGGCAGCGTGGAAAGCTGCGGGACGTCCAGGCACAACACTTCTGCGACGGAAAGCTGCAGGGCAGCGAGTCCAGGCTGGGCGGCCGGTACAGACCGACCACATTGATCATGCTGACCGAGTCCGAGGACGGGGAGTCGTCCGGCAGCTCCATGATGGTGATGACCAGGCAGTCCGAGGACCGGAGGGACGCGTCCGTCCCCGCGGCTGCTGCAGAGCGGAGAGTCAGACCAGAGACACAGAGACAGACAGAGACAGACAGAGACAGACAGAGACAGACTGAGACAGACTGAGACACAGAGACAGACTGACCTTTCAGAGCAGTGGGAGTCAACACCACCTCTGAACCGCCGCCATCTTTAACTGCTGATCCCTCCTGCTGGGCTCGGTCCTGACAGGACAGAACCGCCATGATGTGCCGGTCGTCTTCCATCAGCCACACCTGGAGACACGGAACATGGAGACAGAGTCCCAATGAAGACATGGAGGCAGAGTCCCAACGTGGACCGGAGTGATGGACAGTCCACCACTTCCTGCTTCAAACCTGACATGAACCCGTCTCACCTCCTCATCAGGGACGTAGGTCTCGTGGCGGCAGAATGGGCAGCTGATGACGGTTGGCGAAGAGTCTCCTGAAAGCCAGGATGAAAGCTCACACAGCAGGTCTAATGGAGCGTCAGCAGCAGCACACCTGGCAGGTGAACTCACCCATGTCCACCATCTTCTTGAGACACTTGGCGCAGACCCGGTGCAGGCAGCCCAGCAGCTTGGGTTTCCGGCTCCGAGTGTTGTATCGGTTGTAGCAGATCTTACACTCCAGTTCCTCCACGGTGTAGACCAGAGACTGGGCCCAGGTCTGAACCTGAACACAACACAGAACAGGCTGTTGGTACCTGAACGCACCATGACGGCTATAGGATGTTCCTTAAGGTCCAGAAGACCCAAAGAGAAGCAAGGGATGATGGGAAATCTCACCTTGCCTTCAATCTCCTGGCCAAGCTCCGCCTCCATCAGCTGGTTCATCTTACTGGTCATTATTTGAGGTTGAGGCCAGCAGAGCAGATCAGTCAGAGTGCGGATGTTCATCCGTCCAACCAGGAGGCCAGACGTCCATCTAGGAAGAGACATGTGAGACAGAGACGGGTGTCACATGGCCCGAGCCGCCCCCCCTCCAGGTGAGTTCAACAGGAAGACAAGTTCAGAGACAGGCCTGTAATCTACCTGTGGGGTACCACAGGGTGCTCTGCAGGTTGAGGAAGATTCACCGTTCAACTGGAATCTGCCACACGTTGGAGTTCTGGATCAGAACCAGAACTGACATCTAACAGAACCAGATCGAACCAGAGCCAACACAAGTCCACCATCTGAGGCCAAGAGAATATCAACAGTGAGTTTCAGCAGAGCTGATCCAGTGATGAGTTCTGAAAGCCGAATGACCCAGAACCATCCGATCCAAGACTTTAGTTTAAATCAGAATCAAGTCATCTTGATCCAGAGGTTCTGAAGTAGAGGTTTAATAACCTTATAAAACCTGTGGTTCTGATCTGGTTACCAAGGTTAGATTAATAAGAGCTGAAAATATTATTATTGATCATTATGTCCAGCAGGTGTGCAACAGAACTTCTGGGATAAATGGGATGGATCTGGCTGCCCAAATTAGACCCTAACCAAAGAGATTCTGATCGAAAACGGATCAGAACCAGCGGTTCTGACAGAACCTTCAATTACAGCCTCCAGCTGATCTCTGATCAGTTCTCCTCTCAGGTGATGCAGCAGCAGCTCACCTGCTGGCCTGTGGAGATGCTGAAGGTCTTCAAGTCTCAGGGGGTTCTGGACTCCGCTGGTTCTGGTCTCAGTTGCTCCGATGGTTCTGGTTGCTGCAGGCTTCCGGTGGTTGCAGCAACATGTTGGCCTTCAGCATCAACAGTTCCTGTGGTCCTGAAGGTTGAAGGGAATCCAGCGGTTTTGGGTCTGACGGAACCGGTTCCGCCGGCTGCAGCCGTGGCCTCGCGCTCAGCAACAGTGTGTCCTGATTAATGTCCCCGCGACACACCGCTATATGTGACGTCACTGCAGATCTCGGCCGCGGTCAGCCGGACAGCAGACCGCCGGCGGGTCCCGGTCCGGGTATCGGTGCCAGCGGTTCGGCCTGTCTAGGGGTTCTGGTTCTGTTGTCGGTCGCGACTGGTACCGCTCCGTGTTCGTCGGAGCAGCTCGCGGTGACTCACCATCCCTCCGACTCACTGCGGCGCGCGACCAGCGGCGGGAACCCGGTCACCATGACAACCGCTTAGAAGCTGGAGGGCGGAAAGAGCCGATTAACCGTTCTGTGGGATCCAGAACCTAACCTGGTTCAGATCGGTCCAGTTCGCACAGGCACACAAAGATCAGGTTCTAGTTTAGCTGTGACACGAGGGGAACCAGAACCGAACCGAACCCAAGCGCATAGGAGAACTAGTTTACAGAGGAAACGGAGGCCATGGGGGAACAAAAACTTTTTCCCAGTGTGGTTTCCTTAATCATAACATAAAAATATATTTAAAATTCTGAAAAAAAAGAATTGATAAACTTTCTTCCATGGGTTGTTAATATTGGTAAAAGATTATGTAAATGACAAGAAAAATGCAGGTACAGTTTAACAAACAGGTCTCATTAAAAGAAAAATTCTGATTTATTAAACAAATCATAACTTTTAAAAATAACTTTCAACCTAGTATTTGACATCAATAAGCACATTAAGCCCTTATTTTATATATCCGAAAGGATTTTGTTTCAGCCTGATGTAATACTCTTTTTGCCACACACGCTGGCTTAAAAACATCAGTGTGTGTGGAAATAATCTATATTTCGTTTCATTTCACAATTATGAAAGACAAGAATGACTGTTTCAGTATTCTAATTTATTAAAATGCAGCTGCACCTTTAATGTCGTTCTGTTGTGAAAATTTAATGGAAATCCCATGAGAAACTGAAATGGAAGGATTTTTTTTTTTTTTTTTTTTTTTGCCCTGTAGGAACTTTTGATCTGTCCGTGTTTCCAGTCGGGAGCTCCGGGTTGTTACACCACTTCCTGTCTTTTGTAATAAAGGCCCGGCGGCTCAGCGGGTCAGTTTTTGGTATTAGGTTCGGTGAATCCGGGTCAAATCGGAGCCATCAGAACCGCAAACATGGTGAGTGTTCCCGAACTGGGTCTTTGAGACCCGGTGCTTCTCAGAATGATAAGAATTTTTACTTTTTAACGCGATGATTTGAATATGGCGGCTGTTTGAGGAGACGTTGGCGGGACGTTGCAGGAGAGGTCCAAATGGATCCGAACCGGATCAGTAGAACGGGAAACTGGTCCATTACATCAATAACTGAACCCATTGGCCTGGTTATGATTAACAACCCGGGTCATAGCGTGGCTATATGTGGTCCACTTCGGTTCAGTCTCACAGAATTACTGCAATTACTCCAATAAGCAGAACAAACCGAACCCGACTGCGCTTCGATTAGGGTTACAAATAAACCCGGGGGGAGGCGTGGTGTCGGTTAGTGTGTGTTACCCAGAAAGAAGTTGGGCACAATATCGCAACACCAACACCGTGAGTGAAGCAATGACTGGGGCAGCCTCAGGTATAAAGTACAACCACTTCTTTATTATTACACATTTGTAGAATACGGAAAGGTTTCGTATTTTATGGGACGAGTGGCAAACCTAGGTCCATGGTTCAGAAATGTTTTTGTTAATTTAACACTTAAATTTCCATAATGAAACCGGATCCAGGATGGAACCAGAACCAGAATAAATTACTTTCTTCAGAAAGTGAGTCTGATAACAGTCTTAAGGTAAACTAAGGAAGTTCTGCTCAGGTTCTGCTTCCTTCTTCTTCTGGGGATTAATTCTAGTGGATTAAAACATGGCTGTTTTCCTGATGTTCTGATCTTTAAACAGACCTTAGTTCAGAGTTCTGCTGGTTTTTTCCCATCTCCAGAAACCCTGATGCAGGTAACTGGGTCAGAACCTGGTGTGATGTAGCGATGATGTCATGCTGCTGCTTGTCTCTGATTGGTTGCAGACGGTGGGGAAGAGCAGCAAGATGCTGCAGCACATCGACTTCAGGATGCGGTGCATCCTGCAGGACGGCCGCATCTTCATTGGAACCTTCAAGGCCTTCGACAAACACATGAACCTCATCCTGTGCGACTGCGACGAGTTCCGCAAGATCAAGTAGGTCCAAGGCCCCAGAACCGGACCATCACTGGGTCACATGTAGCTGAGCTTCGATTGAACCCAGAATGTAAAGTCTTAGAGTTCAAAGATAAAGATAAATCTTTCTCTGTCATTATTAAACGTTGCTGTTTTATTGACCTGTGTTTCATTAACCTAGTAAACAGTCTGTTATTTATTAGAATTACTGAACGTGTTTAAAGTTTCTATGAGCTGAAAATGAAACATCTCAAGATAAATGAAGAACAATCTAACTTGGAGAGTTTCAACATCTTATAAACCTCAAACTAAGCCTTTTATTACATTCAAGCCAATTTAATTATGAAATAATATAATTTCTGACTGTTTTTCTTTTGCAGCATTAAACTATATGATCTCTACTGATCTTTGTTTAATGAAAGCATTGCTCTTTTCAGATTTTCAGTTCAAATTACAGAAACTCCCCGTCTCTTTTCCTACCAACTTCCTGATCAAATGACTTTAAATCCAAATCTTCCAGAAGTTTCAATAATTTGGGGTGCAGCTATTCAGTTTTTATTTTCCTACATTTTGAGTATAATATGATTCCTTCATGTGTTTTTGCGTAGCTATAAAAACATTTTAGTGATAAACACAATAAAACAGTTTTTGTTTCCAGCAGATAAAACATTTTGATAGTCAACAATCAAAGCGACGCCTTAGTCTAAAGATTCAATTCAGAAGCTAATTTTCTACTCAGTCGTCAGATTCTGTTTAAATGACGTAACTGAGAGGAAACGATAAACGGCACATTCATTTAAACTGTAAGATTCAACACTTTATGAAATCATATCAGTTTTCATCGATCAGAACAGAAACGGATTTTATTGTGCAACTGCAGCCTCAGATTCACAGATCACTCAGTTCTTAAAATGTTAAAAACAATTTACAAAGAAATATTAACAATATTACAATATAAACAAGCAGAACCAGACTAAAGCAGAAAATGCTGCAGGTTTTTAGAAATAAACGTATTGGATGTGCAGCCGAGTTGCATCATAATGTGCAAGAATATTAAACATTGAAAAAGACGAAACATTTACAATATGGTGCAGAAAAACGGATGTGCAATAACTGGAAATGTTCTAAAATGAGTCAAAGATGTGAAGTGGTTGTGAAAATGGATGTGAACATTTCTTGAGTTTGGAATATCAAACAGTTTGTGCCTAAAATTATTATAACTGAAGTTTCCAGGTTTAGCTCATCTGCTCCGAATTATTCAAAATGTAATTTTACAAACGTGAAGCAGACTTCAGTCTGCCACCGTGCCGTGACCTTTAACCCAAAACTGAAGTTAATTTTTGTTGAATCTGGAATAATCGCGTCTACTCCTCATGGTACCAAACACGCCTTCTGATAGAATCAGGGTTCAGCTCGGACTGGCTGGGAGGTGGCGGTTGTTTCCGTGGTAACGTCTCCAGGTGGGTGACCTCTGACCCTGTTCTCTCTTGCAGGCCAAAGAACTCGAAGCAGCCGGAGCGGGAGGAGAAGCGGGTTCTGGGTCTGGTTCTGCTACGTGGGGAGAACCTGGTTTCCATGACGGTGGAAGGCCCGCCCCCCAAAGATGTGAGTGCGTCCTGCTGAGTGCCGCCATGCGATGGTGATCTCTGACCCCTGACCTGTGATCTCTCCCTCAGACCGGGATTGCCCGGGTGCCCCTGGCGGGTGTGGCAGGCGGGCCGGGAGTGGGCCGCGCCGCGGGTCGGGGCGTCCCGGCCGGGGCGCCGATGCCTCAGGCGCCGGCCGGACTGGCGGGGCCGGTCCGAGGAGTGGGCGGGCCTTCCCAGCAGGTAACCATGGCAACGTGGGTGGGGCGGGTCCAGGGGCGGGTTCCGGTACTGACGTGCTCTGTGTGTTCCAGGTGATGACGCCGCAGGGCAGAGGCACAGTTGCCGCAGCAGCAGCCGGCGCCAGCATCGCCGGCGCCCCGACGCAGTACCCCCCAGGGCGGGGAGCCCCGCCCCCCATGGCCCGAGCCGCGCCCCCTCCAGGTGAGTCCAGCTCCAGTGTTTGATGGCTGCAGATCGCTCTCTGGCTCCTCATTGGCTGCTGTTCTCTTGCTCCACCCCCACAGGTATGATGGGCCCACCCCCCGGCATGCGGCCCCCGATGGGCCCCCCGATGGGAATGCCGCCCGGACCAGGCCGCGGCGCCCCAATGGGAATGCCGCCTCCTGGCATGAGGCCGCCGCCCCCTGGGATGAGAGGTCAGCTGGCCAACCAATCACATCGCACCTTGCTTTAGCCAATCACTGACCTTAACCTGATCATGTGACCTCTTCTAGGACCGCCCCCTCCAGGAATGAGGCCACCGCCCAGGCCATGAAGAAGCTCCGCCCCCTCAGCCACCTGTTGTATAGATGTTTTTTGTTACTTTTTAATAAAGTTTTCTCAGTTTGAATTTCTCTGGTCCGTTTGAACTGTTTCCATGGTAACGAGGAAGGTCACATGAGGCGACTTCACAGAACTGATTTTAAATCCCCGAAAAACTCGGTGGAGAGAAAACCTGGAAGTTTCATGGAAATGATAAACAGCTTTATTGGAAGGGGTTCATAGACTGACATAACACCCATGAAGAAATCTTCATTGATGTTTACAACTGCTGTCATGAAGCATCATTTGGTTGATGACACTTTTAAGGTAAAGTTCTATTAAAATTTGCATTAAAGTGTCATTAGTTACTGAATGACACTTTATAACATTTGTAAGCATTCATGCATCGTCCTGCAGCATGCTCACACGCTTTTTTTAAGAAGATTTTGTGAATTTAACATTTTTATATGTTGAACTAAGATGAGGATTCTGGTGTCATTAATAATCAAACTTTTCCACAAAGGTGTAACTGAAGAACCATAAAACATTTATTTCTTTCACCAGTCTACACCTGAGCTGCTGGAATTAAACAAGTTTTAAAATAACACAAAACATAAACAAACTGGAGAAATAATTCAGCGCATATGAGAGGTTTATATGGAACTCCTGCAGTTCAGTCAGTGTCCATGAGGGGGCGCTCTCTGTTCAGCGTCTTTTTAAAACGTTTTTTGTAAGAAATATAATTGTTCTTATTTTGTTATTGATACAGATTCAGAACACTATCCCGTCTTAAACCGAAATCAGAATCAATCTTCCTTTACTAATATCACTTCCGCCCAGAAGGGGGCGGTAGTGAGCCAGTGCCAGAACAGGTGCATCACAGATGCAGAGTAATTAATTAAATTCCCATTGTCGTTACTAGAACTGCATGTGTATT